GTAAAGCGTAATTTGCTTGGGGAGGGGGAGGTGCACCTTGAATTCAGAGGCTGTCAGGATAACGTACGCGTGTTTTGTGTTAATCTCCACTTCTAGCTATGCTGCAGGGAGGGTTGTGCTGTGAGTTTCCTAATTGCTTGTTTCCCTCTCTACTTCTGAGGAGCCAGGAGCTATTAATAGATTGAAATTTGTGAGGTCTGATGTAGCTTCCAGAGGCAAGTGTTTAATAGGCTCATTACCACCATGTATTGCCAAAATGTTCTAGTTCTGGTTCTCTTATAACCATATTGGGGAATGCTCTTGGGACCAATTATGTTTGGTTATTGCTGAGGTTGATTCATCTCAGACTTCAGTTTTCATTTTCATTTTTTAGTTTATTTTGAGAGAGGGTCTCAATAGATAAGACTGGCCTCTAATTGTTGTGCCTCCTGCCTCAGCCTCCCTAGTCACTGTTKACAGGCATGCGTCAGCATGGCCAGGGTCCTTTTACTTTTAAAATCTAGACATGATTGTGGTACTTCTATACACACATACACTATGCCATGATCAATCAGTAACATAATCTATGACTTTAGTACCTCCATTTCCTTGAGACCTTGAAAATCCCCTCTTTTAGCTATTTTGAAAYGCACATTCTTGGTGACTCTGAGCTTAGTCCACCTAGCTAACATTGTAACTTTATTGACTGACCTCTGTCTATCCTGCTCTCCCCTCTTCCTCCCCAGTCTCTGGTAACCACAGATCCATTTTTGCTGGGACAATAGCTTTTAGGCTGCACGCACGACCACATCGCACTTGTCTTTGTTTCTGGCTTATTTAACATGATGTCCTCCATTTCCATCTATGATGCAAAAGAAACGATTCCATCCTTTTTTTCACATTTTTTTTTTAGTYGTAGATGGACACAATATCTTTTTATGTGGTGCTGAGGATCAAACCCAGGGCCTCAAATATKCRAGGCAGGCGCTCTACCTCTGAGTTAGAGCCCAGCCCCCGATCTCATTCTTGTCAATGGCTGAAGAGTATTCCATGGCATGGGTCGTGCATTTTCTGGATCCTTCCATCTGCTGACGGACACTTGGGTTGGCTGCATCTCTCGGCTCTTGTGAGCAGTGCTGCGATAGACACGAAGGTGCAGATGTCTCTTGGACAGACTGGTTTCATGTCCATTGGATTGTTCCCAGCAGTGGGAATACTGGGCCATGTGCATTTTTAATTGTTTCGAGGAACCTCCGTGATTGTTTTCCACGGTGGCTTTACTAACTTGCATCCTACCAACAACATGTGGGGTCCCCTTTTGCTGCATCCTTGCCGACACTTGTTCCCCTTTGTGTTTTGGACAGTAGCTGTTCTGACTTCACCCTAGGCTCTGGGGCCAAGGAGGCCTTGCTGTCCAGGGAGACGAGAGTGAAACCTGGTCTTCTGAATCTTAACAATTTTTGAGATTCTGGAAGGCTGTGGGTGGCAGAAGGGGTAGTTTGATCTGGGGCCGGTGCCGTCAGCCTGGGACAGCATCAGCTCGCCCTGGGACTCTGGGGAAACCCCTGTAGCTTGATGGGTGTGGGCTTTTCCATCTGTTAAGTGAAGTGCCTGGACTTGAGTCGTCYCTGAAAGTCCCTCTCAACACTAGAAGGGTCTGCGATTCTGTCAGTGGACCTTTCAGTGGGTTGTCCTCGAAGTTGTGGAAATCCTGTGTCAACCTCTCTCTACACCCGAGAAAAACTGCATCATTTTCAACAATCAGCCAGCGTTCGTCACGGGGGTGAAGGCATTTGAGTGTGAGTCTGTATTGTACTTATTTTGGAAAGTCAGTCGCCGTAAAATCCAGGCGGGAGACTCAGAAATGAGTGTTGAATCACTTCCTGATCACGMGTTCAGATTTCCCCGCCCCCGTCACCTCCTTCATGAGCGAGGGTGACGTGAAACTTACTCGGGAGTCAGTCTTGTGCATCCGCTCTGAGATGGCTCTGCAGGTGGTGTGGTACCCAGAGACCCCGTCCTGGGTGGTTACGAGGTCTGGACACCAAGAGGGGCAGGGGTCCYGGAAGAGGGAAGCCCCGGGGTGGGCCAGGAGGGGCGTGTTGGTGTAGCAGGCTCAGGGATAGGGTCCAAGCTGGCAGTGAGTCACCACCCTGTTCCTGCCAGCTGCTGGGCTGGCATGGTCACCATCTCGACTCCTGTGATGGATCCTACGGCACTGTCCCTAGCGTCACCTTCAGTTGGCCAGGCTTGGCTGTGGGGAGAGGTGGTTTTCAGATATTCCAGGGCTGCCCCGCTAGCAAGGGCAGAGCCGAGACTCGAGTGTGGACCCGATTCTGAACACTGCCCTTGATCRGTGTAGACGTGGACTGGGGCGAAGGTGGAAGATGCTGGGAAGAAAGGACGTCTGAGATGGGTCTTGGCACTCTGGCATTGTCACAGTGGAGCTAYTGACCAGGCAGGGGTGGCGGGGCCGGGGGCTCAGCATCCCCCGGGGCAGTGGACGGTCTGCACAGGGTCGTCRGCCCTTCTTGCTCGCTCTTTCTCTCTCCTTCCTTCCTTTGTTAGGATTCACATGACCTAAAGTTAACTGTTCCAAGGTTCCCAACTCGGTGGCATTTAGAACGTGTACCATGTTGCCCAAGCTCCACTCCCGTCGACTTCCAAACGTCTCCGTCACACCCAAGGACACCCATGCCATCAAGCAGCTGTGCCCCTTCCCACAGCCGCTGTCCCGACAGGCAGCAGGTTGCCCTCTGGTTCRTCTGCTCGGGGTATTTTATAYAAATGGGATCAACCCTGCGGTGAGTTGGCACGTCTTCCCTCTGCCTGTGAGCCCCATGCAGGTGACCCAGGACCATCTCCCCTTCTCGGTGGTGTTCCTAATTGAATCAAGCCAGCGGACCCCCTTTTGGTGTGGGAGATGAAGTACTCATAGGTTCTGGGCGTCAGAACGTGGTCATCTTGTCTACCCAATACACCCTCTTCAATGCCTTTTGGGGGCCTCCTGTCATTTCTGACAGCCCCACAGCATTTCCAGGTGGTGGTTTGGTCAGTTGAGGTGAGGCGGCAGGCTGGCGAGGGGAAGAAAGGAAGGAAATCCGACTGGGTCCTGGTTTTGACCAGAAAGGTGAAGAACCGTGATTCCCAAGGATGGGGTCACCTGCGTCATCTGGGGCCGGAAACATCCTAGATTCCACCATGCCGCCCCCTCCCCTCAGAGGTGCATCCCTAAGGGGTACCATGGAGTCGAACAGTCCGTGAGAACCTCGCGTGTTCCTTGCGTGTAGGGGCAGGAGGAGGCATGGGTCTCGGTGATGTGGGGGAATAGAAAGGAGACCCAGAAGATGCTGGACTTGGTATTGACAAGGGGGGTGAGCAGAGTCTGGGGACCTAAGTGACATAAGGGTGCTGTGGCATCATGGGAGGGGGGAGGGGGCTGAGGAAGAGTGACTTCGCCTGGATCCCTTGGCTTCAGGGTTGATGAAGGGGACTGCATGGGAGGCCCTCGGACATGCAAGGAGAGGAGTCGGGTGGGTCCAGYTTAAAGAGAAAGGAGGACTTCTCTCTCCCTGTCCCCTGGGCAGGCCAGGCCCTCTTTGATGGGGAACGACCAAGGTTGGTTTCTGAAGCCAGCAAGACGATTCTGGAAGAGGGCTGGATTGGGTGCCCCAGGGAGGGGGTGCCCTGTCGTTTGCATTCTTYCTGGGTGTTTCGGGGGTCCATGTGACTTTCTCAGGGTGGCACTAAAACTTGCGGGGAGAATTTGGCTCAGCACCCCTGGTCGAGAACCACTGAACAGGCTGCGTGTGAATGGCGCTGGCAGGAGGAAATTCACAGGTTGCTGTATGGATTTGCCCTTTACTGCTGCCACGGTGATACCTGGTTCTGTCACTCTGTCATTTTGGAGATGGTGATGCAGGTGTTTTTTTAAGGCAAGGTATAATTAAGTAATTTTTAGAAACCCATTCAGAGCATTCCACGGGTTGGTGGTGCCAGTCGTACAGCTGCTATGGGAGGCGGGGGTACTCCAGCCATGAAGATGTCACAGCATCTATAAACAGCCACGGTGGTGGCTTTAACTTTATCAGCACTGGAGACCCTTTGAAATTACCTTGCTAGTCCTTCTTGGTTGGTTCCCCAGATCTGTTCCTCGTTGCCCACATGAAAAAAGGAGCAAACTGCCTTAAATTACTTGAGATTCAGTTTCCCCTATCGACAAATAGCAATAGGGGACAGCATCTACCTCCTTGGGGTTTGTTGCCATGATAAGATATCAACATGAGCCTTGGTTTCTGGAAATAGTAGGTGATCAATAAATATTAGTTCCTTGCTTGTTTTTTTTTTTAACAGATAAGAAAATTGATGAGGCCAATATGACATTAATTTACTGCTGGTCTTCAAATATTTCAAAGCTGTTACATATTGCAGAGGAAAGGCACCTTCTTTGGTGCTCCRGGGAGCAGAAAAACAGAGCTAATAGGGAGCAATGAAAGGGAGACAGATTTCAGTTCCACATAAGGAAGAACTCRGAATAATTTACAGCTGGATCATAACGCAGTGACGCTCCTGAAGTAATGAGCAATTCGTCTTAGAAGTATTCAATTAGAACAGGATTTCTTGACGTTGTTACTGACATTTGGGGATAAATAATTCTTTGTTGGGGACTGAGCTTTGTGCTGTGGCGTTTTTACCAGCACCTGTGGCTTCTGTGCCCTAGATACCAGTAACCTCCCCTCCCCTGCCCTCCCAGTGCGGCGACTGGAAATGTCTCTAGACATTGTGAGATGTCCCTTAGAGTCCAGCAGCACCCCTGGTTGAGAACCACTGAATAGGCGGCACCCTCCCCGAGTCACCCCCTCTTGCCACATCAAGGCCAGGAGGCTCCTTGGTTAGGGTAGTCCCCACCACCTGGGATTGAAGGCCTAACACACGGGAGATGGGCGGGTTTGGCTGGGGCCAGACGGGCAGGTGAGTTTCGGGGCTGGTTTAACGGCTCATTGCTCATTGTGGTTCTGCAGGTCATGCTAGCAGCCTCCTACTGGTCTCTCCTGGCTCCAGCGGTGGAGATGGCCACGTCCTCTGGGGGCTTTGGGGCCTTCGCCTTCTTCCCGGTGGCCGTGGGTTTCACGCTTGGAGCGGCTTTCGTCTTCCTGGCCGACCTCCTGATGCCTCACCTGGTAAGTACCGTCCTCAGGTGACGGGGTCGGGTGCGTCGAGCTTGGCGCACTGGAGTTATTTCTGTTCCGCCTCGATATACCCCGTGACGCCTCTGCCATGTGGCCYGTGGGGTCGGAACAGATAGCCAGGCCTTGGAGGGACTGAGTGGTGATGTCCTTAGAGAAAACACTCTTGGTAACATGACGAATCACCCCCTTGTGTACATTTTGGTAGGTTCAGATTTTGAATGTCACTCTGTTAAAAACCGTGGCCGCTGCCGTGCTGTGGCGTGTGTGTGAGATGCGTTCACCAGTGGACCTGAACCTGGGAGGAGGGAATTGCCTCTTTGTGGTCCTGGCCCCTGGTGAGCTTGTGATGTCCTCGGGGAGAGGACAGTACCCCCAGCTAGAGCGCTAAGACGCTGGTAACATGTCACGTCGGGCTCTGGGTCTGGGCTTGGCTGTGCCACCCACTGCTCCGTTGTTCCTGTAATTGGAGGGTAACTCCATGGAGGGATTGGGAGCTCAAATATTTTCCAAAAAAATTAAAAAGATGCTGACTATTTTTTTTAAAAAAAATACTTGCTGAAATAGGACTGGTGAGTTGGGCTCGGAAAGGGCTTGCCCTGGCTTGTAGGAGAGCCTGCACTGCTCAGCAGGGGGAGCCAAGCCAGGCCCTGCCCCGGGATGGCAGGCCATTGGCTAGAGCCCCACAGCCACRCGGGCGCTGCCAGTCTAGACGTGGATTCGATAGTCACTTCAGGTAGGCACATGCAGCCTTCTAGATACTGTACCCCTGAAGTCCTAGAGGTGGGCAGAAGACCCCTGAACTGGGGCCTGCRTCCTCTGCTCACCCAGAAAGAGAAGAAGTGCAGCAAGAACCCTGGGGGGACAGCGAGGCCGAAAGCTGCCTCTCCTGTCGGACGGTGGAGGGTGAGTGGAAGTATACCCCAGCAGCCAGGAGGAAGTCCCRTTTCTGGGCCACTGCTTTCTTTCTGGCCTTAAATTCCCAGCCAGAGAAAGAGGAGGCAGAATTCCTAGGAAGTTGACTTCCGGGCCTGGGGCTGATGAAAGCTGATCACTCGCATGGCAGAAGGGCTGTCCTCGGGACCAGTCAGTTGGATGTGGTGACGGGATGGACAGCTGCGATGTGTCCCAAGGAAATACCATCTGTCACTTTTTCCTTTGTTTCATCAGAAGCTTGAATGGCAGCGTTTCTGCCCCCTGAACATTTGGCTTCCTTGCCGTTGAGCGTGTCGGGGTGATGGTGGCTTCCCGGGGCCCTCACTGGGAGCTGCCACGTTCTGCTAAGTCCGCCCTAGTTACATATGAATTTGCTGACGGGGTGCATTCTGCTCACCCTGGCAGGAAGATCCTGTGGCCAGTGGCCTCGACTCCTGAACAGTGGGCAGAAGTCTGGCCCAGCGGCTCTGCTCAGCCCCTGCTGGGTGTCTGTCACCTGGGCCCCTGAGGGAGTCTTGTTGGAGGCCATTTGCAGTCATGATGGGTCATGACTACTGGGGCTGGGGGGTGGAGGGCAGAGGTGGCAGTTGGTGTTAGGCATATTTGATCAGCTGTGCGAACAGAGGGGCTTTCTCTGGGCAGTGTAAATAGTCATTGGCCAATTTATACCGCACAGGGTACTTTTTTTTTTTTAACCTTTTAGTTCATGTTTGCTCAAATATGTTCTTGGAATATGGCTCCTGGGGGAGAGTTCTGGATAGATGATACAGACGATCACAAATGGCTTGGGAGCCGGGGCTGAATGTTGGAAGGAATCGGAAAAGGGGCATAATAACCATCAGGGCCCAGAACCTCATTAACTGGCAGAAAGATCAGCTTCCCAGTGAACATCTGTTCTAGGACATTTGAAGAGAAATTAATTCTCATTGTTAATGCGAGGAGGGGAATTGTCTTAGAAGTCTCATAAATAGATAAGGCATTCTTTCTAATTGCTACAGTCACTGAATACAAATGTCGAAAGAGTCGTGCTCGGCACGGCCTGTTGACCTTCACTCGGAGGCTGGCTGAAGATTTCCCCTGTCGTCACCATTAATTTGCTTGCCGAGTCTGAAAAGGGCGGCAGCTTGGATCTGCAGAAGGTGCTGTGCGGAGTTGACGGGTTTGCTCCGGGTCCTGGGTTGTCTGGCCTCCACCGAGGAGCTCCCACTGGGGGAGCGGGGCTGGAATGTGTTGTCAGGTGTTGGCTGATCTTGTAATTGAGGAAGCGGGACGTTCCATGGGCGAACTCGGTTCAGGATCTTTTCTGTTCCCAGTCGTTCCCCACTGTGGCAGAGTGGATGTCTGTCCTCTCTTGGTGGCCTCCTAACCGTGAAAGGAGGTAGCCAGGGAGTCTTTGGCTGCAGCTCTGACTGGGCAGCTCCGGTCCTTCGGAAGAGGCCCGGGGAGGAAGGGAGGCCAGTTTGCAGAGAATTTCGGCCACAGGGAGCATGGCCTTTCCGTTCCCTGGGTCTCAGTGCTTTGCAGTTTGACAGGAAGTGACTCTGTTCATGTCACCTGGACAGATGGGCAAATGCAGAAAGGTTGGCTGGAGGGATTCTGAGGCAGGGCCCAGCTTTGAGCTCTTGCTCGTGGCCACTCAAGTGCAGGGCCCAGTACCTGGGAAATCGGAGCCGCTGGGCCCTGCGTATGGATTCCAGGTTGAAGGGCAGCGATACTAGGCTGGCGGGAAGGAAATGGTTAATGTGCAACCGCAATCCTGACCTGCAGCTCTATTCTGTGGCGTTTCCCTGTGGAGCCCAAGCAAAACGCCTCTCGTGAAAAGGGTTTTACGCACCCCAACCTGTCAAGTTGAAGCCACTGTGGTTTGTTACCTTCAGATGCATCAAGCTGCTCTCCAAACTGGGCTTTGACAAAAGTCCATGATTGATCTGGGAAGGGAGGAGAGGGTGCTTCTGCAGTCGTCGTTACTGGGGCATGAGCAGGCAGGGATCTACAGAGGGGTTGCCAAGTGGTGGTGCTGTGGGAGGGGGAGGAGGCAGGAGCAGGCAGCGGCCCCTGCCAGGCCTGGGTGGCAAGTGTGGCTGGGGCCAGCTGGAGCCCAGTGTTCCCCTTAGGACGGCCTCAGGGAGAGACTGGACATCCAGCCGCCATTTGGGGATGTGGACATTTTTACCATCTTTGCAGTTTTGCTTTGGTGTTAAGTTCAAGGGCAACAGCAGGGGGGAAGTCGCACCTTCAGCTTAAAGCAGTGATTTTTTTTTTTCCCACAAATTGGAGGAAAGATGTGTCCTCAAGGCCTTGGGTCTTTCTTTTTAGCTCTATTGGTATCACTCAAAACAACAGGCATCTCGTTATAAAATGTTTGAAACAATTTTATGTGAAAATCCCTCTTTCCATCCCCCCTGCCCCGACCAACCAGTCGACCTGATTTACTTTACGACCACAGGAATCTGGCCCTTCTGGACGCCCCTCTGCTGCATTCCTGTGCATGCACACATCTATGCCCAGTTGCTCTTCCTCTTTTGTGTTACTTTAAAACATTAAGCTGTCTTTATGGGCATTTGTTTTAGTGTCTGCAGCCTGCTGTCATCTTGCTGTCATTTGGTCCAGTGTCTCCCTGTTCCGAGTGGCTCCATTGTCCTGTGCTCACCTATATACATATGGACATCTCAAAGTGGAATTTTGTTTTGTGTTTTTCTGAAAAAACAAATGGCAGCCTGTGTCTGTGGGTGCTGCTTGCTGTTCGCGGCTTGTTCCGCCTTCCTACCTTGGCAGCCTCTTCCCGGGAAGCCTGTGCTCCCCCTCCCTCCCTTCTCTTGGCATTTGACATCTCCGGAGGCTGCCTGAGAGGTGGCAGCGGGGCTGTGGCTGACCGACAGGACCTGGCCCTTAGTCCTGCCTGGACAGGATCCTGGGGCCAGGGGATTAGCAAGGCTCTGCCTCGTCCCCTGCCTCCTCCAGTTACCTGGGTCCCCAGGCATGTTTGGTGTGTGTCTCGTGTGACAGCCAGGAAGATGCCTCGGCTGCAAACGTGAAGGAACAGCGTGTGCCCACACTGACAGGCCCCCAGCTTGTCAATATTTGACCTGCTGGAGCTCCTTTGAGGAGCCACGTACCACAGCTACCTGGAGAGACGGATGTGGCAAGAGGAGATTTTTTTTTTTTTTTTCCTTCTCTCCCGGGGGGTGGTGGTGGTAGTGGTGTTTGCATGTATTTCTCTTCTCCATAGATTTTTCTCTATTTAATGAAAGAATATGTGAGAGGGGAAGGGGAGGGATTGAGGAAGAGAGAACAGCAAGTACAAGCTACAGGGAAGGAGATGGTCGGGGGGCGACCCTTGGCCTTGCTCACCAGCTTCAGCGTTTTCTTCTCGGTTGGGTTTTGTTGAGGTCTGTGCTGTGCTCTCTGCCTCACACTGTGAGCTGCACTCGGGGCTGACTGTGGCATTCTGCTGGGCTGGTTGGAGCCTCGGCAATAGCAGGTTCTTCCAGGTGGTGACATGGTTGTGTCATCAGAAGAGGGTGGTGGGTGGGGGCAGCTGGGGCAGTTGCAGGGCAAAGAAGGCTGTGGTTTTGCAGTCGGACCTCTTAGCTATCTGCACGTCTGTGTTGATGGGCTCAGGCTGCCAGCCTGTGCGTGGCCAAGTAGAGTRGCTTCAACAACAGCTGTCTGTCCTCACACTTCTCAGGTGGGAAGTCCAAGATCCAGCACTGGCAGGGCTATTGCTTCTGAGGACTTTCTCCTCGTTGGCAGATGGCCACCTTCTCTGTCCTCACGTGACCTTCCTCTGTCTTTGTCCATATTTCTTGTTATGGGGACCCAGGTCGACTGGACCAGGGCCTTTGCTAGCAGCACCATTTTGCCTTAATGACCTCCTCCAAGTCCTGGTCKCCAAATACAGTGATGTGCTGAGGTTCTGGTGGCCAGAGCCCTGACGTGAAATGTTGGAGACACAACTCCACCTAAGGGAAGGGCTTTGCAGTTTCTTCCGACACTTAGGGTACCACAATCGAGATGCCTGGGAAGAAGGGACCTCATTCTGGGGATGTCACTGGAGG